ATAGATAGATAGATAGATAGATAGATAGATAGATAGATAGATAGATAGATAGATAGATAGATAGATAGATAGATAGATAGATAGATAGATATTAGTCTGTGTCTTTGTCTGTGTGCTTTTAAACATGTTTTTGGACCCACCTGGATACTGCAGGAGACAATGAGCACTGCCAAAAAGAGGAACAGCTGTGACATCCCTTATTTCTGCTGTTGGTGCTGGGATGGGATACTGCAGAGCTGAGAAGAGTTTTCACTTCATAAGGGGGCTTATCTACACTGGCCACGCTGCCTGGATGACACAGAGACATACAATTCATCAAAGCTCATTGCAAACACATTCCTGTTAATGAGACTCAGCTTGGCTGCGCAAAACAAGAGAACCAAAACAGGAAAAGGCTGGGCCATATCGTTCACACTACAATTACACCAAATTTAGAAGGTATGCCGGCAAGGAAGTAAAATAAAAGGAGAAGTCTTATGTCTTTTCAACTTGTGTTCTTAATGCTCAAGAAGTGTGGAGAGGAAAGGAGTGCTTATTCATTCAAATAGAGCCATGGTCCACAAAGTTTACAGCTGTACAAGACAGACCAGAACATCATCGGGCCAAAAAACCTCCAGGAAATGCTGTTTGTCCCTGCAGTGAGACAGCTGCATGTAGTCAGTGATTCTGCTGGCAGCTGTCCACCTTCTTGCTGAAGCCAGCGAGTATTTGGTTGAGTGTTTGTCAGTGTGTGCCAGAGGTCACTCACCTTCGCATCGACTGCCATAACACTCCCGAGAGATTTGACTGAAGCCGGAGAACGGAACGAAATCTGAAACGTTTCTGCAAAAAACACCTTGACCATGGAAACATTTTTGGCTAAAACGTTTCAAATTCCATTCCGTTCCAGTCTTGCGGTGGATAGGAGGACGAGCTCGTGATGTTGTGTAAGGAATTTTTCACAAACGGATGTAGGTATTTTTTCAACAGATAAGAGCACAATGTGTCGTGACAGATGAACAGTTTGCAATGTTCTTGGGTGGGAAAGCTTAATTCTCGAGTTTTTCAGTCTCTGTTTTGACTGAAAATGTCATCGAGCTTCTAAAATCTGGGGTAAACAGCAGCTTGGAGGTTCCAGTCACAATCTTAATATCCACACTATCAGACTTGATCAAATCTACACCAAGGCCTTTCTTAATGGACTGTTCAGTGTAATAACTACTGGATACAATTAGCATTAGCTGCAGTACAGCCTCACTGATTGCCATAGGCGCTGAGAGATCAGAGCTACTCTAAATCATAGCGCTGACTCTTGTACCTCTGACAGCATCAGACATGTTCTGATTTCAATTCTGTTTTTGTGTTCTGGTGGCTAAAAGACCCACAACGGTGAGATCCCATCACAAATTCTGGCATAGGTCATTGGGAAGCAGAAACTACAGGCATATCTTCAAACCATACTGTACTTTAACCTCTGCTCTTCCAAACATCTCTACTGTAGGCATCTCGGGTAAGTTCTTACCAGACAGAGATAATGAGCGCGTGACATTTCAGCACGTGTCCCGATGCACCGGAGAGGTTCAGACCCTGGTCTTCCTTGTGGCTAAAATGTTACGCCATGTGTGACAGTTTTCCAAGGGTTTCCCTCTTTCACAACCTATCTCTCACTTACTCTCTGACTCTTTCGCCAGCCCGCGCCACTCTGCAGCTTAGCAGCGACTGGGAGCAATGATTAACCAAACTGCAGGAGTGGGAGTGAGGGTGCGTCATAGCAAGAGGGTTTACTACAGGAGAAAAGATTCCTAAACCTGGCTCCTGACCCTTTTCTATGTTGTGACACTAAACATTCCAGCCATTACACATGTGTGAAGTTGTGAGGTGAATTTGAAATCTGCCTCTCAGACTGAGAGTATGCATGGACACCAAAATATGATATTTCATCATCACTTCATGACTAAAAGAAAATAAAAACTGCCTTTCCTAATTATCCTTTAGATGACTTCTATAACAATCTCATTGCTTCTGTTTCGGGAATCCAGCTGCACAGTTTTCCTTAGTATTTAGTATTTATTTTTAGATATAATAACACCGAATGCCCCACAGCTGAAGACAAAACAAGACTCTCTCGATAATGAGCATTCACTGCCTGTTACGCTCAAAAAGCAATGCTAAATCAGAGCACTGGAGGATTTTTAAGACACAACCTGAGGACATAAGTTCACAGAACTCCCTTGCTTTATTTGTGCACATTTGTCAAGTACAATGTGTCTGCTCGGATGCCTTTAATGCAGGATGAGGGGAATCACGTTGGCCATTCGATGGAAGCTCAATTGGAACTAATGGGCTTCGAGGTGTGAGGCTAATTAGGCTTCTATATTGTGCTGTTATGATAGCCTGCCAGATCTACAGTACTGCTGCTCCCACTTAGCTTTTTCAGTCCATTGTGGCTTCAGACCAATCAAGGTCCTCTGAAACATGTGTTGTTAGACCCAGTGGTTCCCTGTTCCAGGAAATAATCTGGAGCTTTTAACACTTTTGCTGCACATTTGATGTAAGAGGTGAAACAACGGCTGAGAGTCAAGCCTTCCAAGCCAGATGGCTCTCTTGAGATGCTTGGGTCTGCTCTCTTTAGCTTCATCCAGAAACAAGTTAGCAAGCAATAATGTTTCACCTCAGTGTCTGAAAATTATGCAGCACTTTTTTTCTTTTAGATAAATACTTATGTTTAATTTCCTCTTAGACGACTTTGTGTTGATTGACCAAATGCTAAACAGATGCAAGTGTAACCTAAGAGGTTATTGCCCCTTTACACACACAGGATAGATGGCATCATGTTTGAATCATCCTTGGTCACTTATTTATGTTTGCGAGTGGAAGAAATACATTGAAAAACATAAGTGAATGACGCAAATCACCTGAATGTCCCAAACAACCTAAAAAAACCGCTTTGTGTTCAAGTGCACATTGGATGGCTTAATACAATGGCCACTAACAATTACTGTTGTTTGTTGGAGAGTGCTTACCTTTCATTTGATTACATTGTCTGACAAATAAAATTACAAAAGAGTATGCATGCATGAATGCGGGGCAGAGGGGATCGGCAAGGATTAAAAACAAAACTCTCTGAAAAACACAATAGCTGTCCAGCTCAGAAAATGCCCCTGAGCAGCAGTATATCATTCAGCTTTCCAAACGCACAGGCACTAGTGAGAGTAAACACTAACTGTCTGACATCATCCAAATCCGACAGCTTTCCTCGCCACAGATGAGGTCTGGGTGCAATTTAAAAAATATATGATAGAGAAATATCTTTGTTTTTAAACTGTCAAACAGCAAAAACAATCAAACACATGCATATTAGAGTAAATGTGTGATATGTTCTCCCTGCTTTCCATAATTTAACAAATTTAGCTAAAAGGCTAAAGCGCATACAGAAGACGTTACATGCTTAGTGTTCAGGCATGAGAACCCTGTTATCTGATAACAGGGTGTTCAGGGGAAAAAAGCATCGTGCTGCAACACGCTCTTTTACTTGTTTGGAGCAATCGAGATACTGCCTAAATCTACGCATCGTGCTCTGCTTGATTTACCTGATCTTCAGCATGACAGCATGCTAATCTGTTCCTGTGTAAAACATCAAATTCAACAACATGATTATTTCCCCGCTCTGATGTTCTGCAACCATACACATGCCACTGATTGCACAACAGTGGTTATGCATTTCAGTTGTTTTTCTGACCTTTTAAAAAAATGTCTGCTTTCTCTTCAGCCACAAATTTCCAATGCTTCCCAGGAATTCTTTCGAAAAACAACACAATGTTTTCATCTATTTGCACATTGAGCTGGCACAATTGTTAATAGCTATTGTCAAAACTTTCAAAGTATTTCTGGAAGGTTTGTTTCTTAGTTTGCAGAAAAACTCTGAATATATACAAATCATGAAGACTTCAAATACAGTGACAGTTACATTTCATTTAAGCCTGACTCAGCAGGACGTTTATGTTGACACACAGTTACCTGTTCATCCTCTACTTTACCAATAGGAACATGTCAAATAAAAGCAGACCCGACTAGATTCTTATTGATTAAAAAAAAAAAATGCTAAAATGCCGCCTGTCAGTGCACCACCAGCAGGAGGAACGTAGTGCTGGGGAGTGGCCAGGGATGGAGACCCCGGCCAACTGATCCCCGGGAACCAAAACTAGTGATTGGGACACGGAACATCGCCTCTCTGGAGGGGAAGGAGCCTGAGCTAGTGCGTGAGGTTTAGAGGTACCAACAAGATATAGTTGGGCTCACCTCATCAAGCAACTCACCTCAAAGGAGGGGGTGATTGGGAGAAAAGGCTTTCTAGGTCTGAATCCAAGCAGTGTTCTGTTAATGGACATGGTGTTTCTCCATAACAAACTGTCAACTGATCATCACCTCATGGTGGGTTGCCAAAATGCTATAAAAAATAAAAGCACCTGGGTTCACACGAGAGCCCTCCATGCAATTCTGTCTGTGAAATTTCAAAAGCAAAATATTCATTTTTTCCTGTTTTTTTCTCAGTTATTTTGTGAAGGAAAAGTATCTTACTTGCAGTATGGATTATGTTCAGTGGCACAAAGTGGCCATGGGATGCATTGCAGGTATACATTGCTTAATTCTAACACCATATTGTTGTAAAGGTAAGTTCACAGTTTTGTTCTGAGCTGGCATCTGAATAGCAGCTGTGTCTCAAAACCTTTTTTCAATTACCAGAGATCAGGACAGACATAAACTAACAGGTATTTCCACATTGACTGTTTGGCACAGTACATAAACCAGCCAGATTTGCCACTTTTAGTCTGAACCACAGAAGAACTTTGTTATTTCCATCTGCAGTTGTTTATGGAGGAGGTATGGCTCTGTTCTGAGAGGTCTCTTTCATGTACATGCATGAGAGCCACAACTAGACCTGAAAGAGACACTTTCAGGTCTATTTGCGGCTAGTTGACACTAGAAAGCTTGAGCTGATGTGGAGATGGGTTGCAAAGAGGCTTGCAGAGAATATGCATTACAGTTGAGAAGCATCAGAATACTTCCAGGTAGCCTCATTGTTGTTCTGGCCTGTAGTGAACAGTAACCTTCAACAGCAATGTTATAGTAAAACTAAGTTTTTAAAGTGTGTGCTAATACCACAGTGTCCACGGTGCACCCAAAGCTGCAACACAGATGCCACAAGAGCATGCAGCCGCTCTGTCTCTCACCCTTAAATGGGTGGTTAAAAGGAAAGGTCGGGTGAAAAAAGCAAAAGGCTGGAAAAAAATGGGGTCAGTCAAGGACCAGGTCATTGAATAAGACTCACACTTAGACTAGTTGTATTGGTGTATTGACGCATTCATGTGAGTAGTCAGCAGTGTTATGGAGTCCTTTTAATTTTGCTGTCATTCTAAGTGAAGCAAGATGAAGACGGCCTCTCTTAGTCTCTTGACAATGTGCAAAATGCTGCAATGTCTCCCGTTAGTAAATCTCTGGCAAACAGCATGAGGCAGAGGATGCATGGGGGTAATCTTTTGCTTAGCTTGTCACTGCTTTCAAATCAGTCCTGGTGTAGCCCTTCACTCAGTTTGCATCTGCTAATTTAAATGGGCTTCGCAAAGTGTGACTGATGAGAATCTGTGATTTTATGTGAAGACTGGAAAAAAGGAAAGTTGCTGGTCTTTGATTTTCTGGAGCTTCTGCCAAATGACTTTGCTATTGACGCTATAAATTTAACTAAAAAAAACCAAAAAAACAAAAAAGAAACATCTTCCAACTGCACTGCAGCTGTGCTCCAGCAAAGCACCACCACTAAACAAAATGAATGAAAACCATTTGTTGTAAATGTTACTTTGACTGAAAGACATTAAAACAAAATTGGAATTTCGTATCCCAGTGTCGACCTCAGTTTATTCTCTGTGCGCTGCATGAATGTGAACGTCACTATATGGTCAACTAAATCCAGATGTTTAAGCATCACAAGTTCTGTGGTCTCACAAATCAAATATCCCGCCTCATCATAGCCTAATTCAGTCTATCTGACCTGTTAGGTTTGCCGATGGCACTGCGTGCTGCACCTGTTCACTGTCTGCTGCTGTTTGTCTTCCTGAATGGTGATTGGAAAACGTGTCATGTTATCATTCATCACGTTTCTTTAACAAAAATCACATTGCCTCAATGAATATAATTACTGTGTTTTCATGAAATGGGTCATAAAACATCCCACCGCTGGCTAACTCTGCTTTCCCATGCGTGCCTTTTTATTATGTGTCAAAATGTCAGCAGAACACTGCAGTGCACTTGAATATGCAAGTCAAATGTGCCAGCAGGAACACTATGTAACTTTTGTTGAAGCATCAGTAGACCTCTCACTTTGCCCTGGAGATTAAAAAAAAAATACAAAGACGGAAAAAAAAAGCTCACTTCCTTCAGGTATTTGATTTATCCAGATCTCCAGATGTTTACAGCAATACCGTGCACATGTGTAAAGATGAGGATGTAGCGTGACGTCTCAAACACATATTTTTTGAGCCTCTTATTTCTACAGCTCTGTAAAGAGGTCAACCTCTGAACTGTTACACATGTTTGTCGGGGACCCTGTTATAATGAGGCAGTGGCCCATCTGGATGCATCTACAGGGACCTAGCAGCTGGATGCTCGAAGCCTCTTCAGCGCGTTGGATATTTACGTGTTTTGGTAAACACTTCCTGTTTAGAGGCCACATCGGCTAAATGTGGGTGGGAAACAATGAAAAATGATTGTATAACATCTGATTCGTACCTGTGTTTTGTGTGTGTGAATGTTTGATGTTTCGCCGTGCTCTACAGGAGCATGTGTGTGGGAAGCGTTTTGCGCTGCCTGGGTGCTGTGTCGTACACACTTTTATGAGGTGCAATGGACCTACGAACTGTGCCCGCTATGAAGCAACAACAGCCCTGCAGGGAGCCTTTGATTAGCCATCGCCATCCTACATTGTTTCTGCTGTGTTTGTTTGAGCACAGGATGAGTTGAATTCCCAAACGAAGTTTAACTTTGGTGCATATTGTTCACCACAACGCTGCAAAAATGTATTTTGTTTATTATCCAGTTCATAATCCTTTAAATTGTTAAATGTAAGGGAAAGATATCGTCTTACTTAAAATGGGAAAGAGCAAGCTGGCTAAGAAACAGTGAGTCACACTAAGTAGTGCGGTTGTTCATTTATATGAATAGTGATGTCTCTGTTTGCCAGTGGACAGGATTTGTGTTGTTAAATTAGCATTATAAAGGCAATAGAGATGGTGTTTCATTTTTCCCTTGCTTTCCCTTGTGTACTCTGGCAACTGATTGTACCTTTATAACATGTGTCAGTAACAATAAAAAGCTTATTGCAGTACAATATTTGTGTAAACAATTACACGGAGCTGCAAACCTTCATGCGTCCTAAATCCTAATATGAATGATTTTGATATATGGACAATAACGGCTTTAATAAATCAGTCTAACTCTGTAGCTACCATCAATCTTCCTCTGATTCTTGCTGCTAACTGCTGCTAAATCACCTGAATTATGTAATTAATTTCAAGTTTAGTAGTTCATCCCTCTCAGTTCGATTTCACTTATTTCACTCGAAACAGTCAAATTAGGTGATTGTCCAGCTTCGGCACAACTCGGTTTCCTCCTGGGAGGACTTCTTTTGTGGCATAACCAGACAAGCCTGTGCTGTTCATCACAACATTGTCAAGATTTCCATTACACAAAGCAGAGGATTATGTTGATCATGAGCCAAGCCTCGTGGCGACTCCAACTGCACTACAGCTTCTTACCACAAAATGAACAATGATTAGTTTCCTGAGATTAGAAACCTGATTTTAAGATGACAACATAATGACAGCCCAACAGTGTTGCCACTTAGAGCAGAGAGCAGGAGCGGGACTGTGTTGATGCTATCTGTGGTTTCAGCTTGGCAGGAATAACACTGCGTGCGCTTCAGTCTCGGACACCACTTAGCTTATTTGTCTCTGCTCGTGTACTTGCTGATATTCGGTGACCTAGCTGGCACAGAAATGCAGGAAAATAGATTTGGGGAAATATCAACATCATTTGTACTTGCGGCTCTGCATTGAACTCACTGTTTTTGTGGTAACCCACCAACTCCAAGTGCAGATTCAACGTTCATTTTAAATACATGCTTTTTATTTTTTTGCATTATAGACGTCAAATAATTAGAGCCAGGATCGGAAAAGCGGTAAACTCGAATTTTCCTGAATGCTGCCGGTAATATTGTGTCTGTCTGCATGCAAATATCAGTCGACAAAAAACACTGAGGTGATTAGTTCAAGCACATCCAACTTGCGGGTTGAGGTTCAAGTTACAGGAATGTCTACTTAAGTGTTTCTACTTTCTGCAACTTTATACTTGTACTTTATGAGATTACAGAAAAATGCTGTCATTTTCTGCCACTATATTTATTTGGTGGTTAAATACTTGCCTGTGGAGCAGGGAAGAACTTCTGTGATCCTTTCTTCTCTTAAAATAGCCATGAGAGTTTCAGGCCATAAATTTAGTCCAGTTATATCTGTCAGTTTTGTTAATTTACAGCTCTCAGGACAAGCAGACGATTCAAAATCAGCTTGGCTCTTACACTCTATTTCAGAGTTTTCTGTCAGCTGTAGCACTACAAAAAGTCCAGGCTCTTCTCTGGCTTCCTTTACTTTAAACCTTCTTTTTGTGTGACCCAGATTTCCGCTATATGCCAGCGAGCCCACTGCTAATTCTGTCTGTCAGCAGCTCATCTCACAAGTCTTCAATCTGCAAGCCCACTTTACACCAGCAGCCCCAGTGTTTTTCACAGATTACCAAGTGAGCCTTCCATCTGCTCTGTTGTTTTGCATTTGAGTCTGAATGTTTGTTGACTTAATCTGATATCTAAGTTGCTTGCGTGTTCACACGGGTGTTCACTCAGGTTGAAGCTGAGAGAAATTATATAAATAATATCAAGAAAGTTTACAGTTTTGTAGCTCAGTGCAGCTCAGTAAGCTGCAGATGCATATTTCTGAAAAAAACAGCTCACATAGCAAAAAAAAAAAAAACTGGTAATGCAATTCCCCAAGAATAAAATAAATGCCTTATAAGATTAATAAATCTCCCTGTGATGACATGCACAGCAGTTGGCTGAGATTTGGAGTAAACAATCGAGAACAGAGTAACGCGAACACAGCAGTTCCACCTGTCAACACTTGCAAGTTAGCACTTGCACTTCAGCTGTCTGTGAATAGAAAACAAGCCTTTCTGTGACCTTTACCAAGCGCATTATCTGTGCCAAGACTGAACACTGAGAATGTTGTGGTGTCCGCAGCCTTTTATGTGAAAGGGATGTGGTTTTGACATAGAGTGATTGAGTGACACTGCTTTTTTCCCCCTTCTACTGTAAAAGTCAGGATTAGTACCAAAACAAGGATTTGCATGCACCTCTGTGTCTGTGTCTCACTCATCTTAAATAACTTTATCCTAAGTCAAATGCACACCTAAAGTACTTGTGTAAAAGCCCACCTACCCTACACAACATGTTGTTGTTAATGTCACCCACTCTCATAGACTGAGTCTAGGAGTCGCAGTCAATCCTCAGCCCTTCACAAACAGTGAAGCCTCTCATCCAGCTCATTAGTCTCCGATTATCCATTACTACACACATCTTCACTATCCAAAACATTGTTTCTGTATGTTTTAGTTTGTGCACTATGGATGATAAAGGCTGAAGTTCAGGGACAGGAGAAGCTTAACAAACTAACAGTGTTATCTGAGCCAAAACCCCATGATAAGCCCACCCATTTAAGTTCAATAAGTCCAAAACACACAAGAAGCAAGTATAGCAACACACATACTCATGAAGCAAAACCAAAATAAATAAATAGCTACTGGACAAGACTAAACTACAGATGGAAGGGGGGTTTATATGTGAGAACTTCAAAGACTGCTCATGGTAGATTGTACTGTTTGGTAAGCTAATGAGATTGTAAGAAAACCCAAATAGACTGCATATATGCAGTCTATTTGCATATATCTTTTATATATAAAAGATGTTGATAGCCATCATAAAATCACTCACTGGTTTTGTATTATGTAGCGTTTTGGCAGCAACTATGTTCATGTTTTGGAAAAGTTGCCATATTTGGAAAAAATCGAGTACTAATTATTCAGGAAGCTTGGCTACCAATCTGCACGAAATCTGCAAAACAAAAACATATACAAACTTCTTCAACAGTCCTCATAGTTGCAGCAAGCCATGTTATCAAGGGAAAAATATCCAAAAATAGGGCCAAAACTATTTTTGTACCAAGTCACAAACTTGACTTTTGGACATTTTAACATGGGTGTCATGAACCGTGGGCCTTTAGAGAAACTGCAGAGCCTGTAGGCTCAATTTTTATCCCCAGAAGCTGAAGCGTGGAAAAAAACACTCGAGGACAAACAAGGAATTGAGGGAAAAACACACAGAATGGGGACAAGGGACAGAGAGACGAAGAGAGGCGGGAGAAACACAAAACATGCAATGTAAGATTTACGCATTGAGCGTTTGACATCATCCTATGGTGTCTAACAGGCATATGCCCCACATGCAAACGTCAATTTCCTATGCGATGCTTAATGCTTATGTGAGAACACCAAATAGAACCACTGAATTATGAAATCACCTGGGTGACCATTAAACTGTGGGCCCCTTGGATTATACATTCAAGGATCTGGTCTACATCGAGCTCTTATGGATGAATGCAGGCAGTGTTTATGTGCAGTAATCCTCTGAGATCCCCTACGCTGCTCTGTCACTCTGCCATCAGCATGGAAATTATCATTCTGCCATATGCAGCCCAGGACAGTAGACCCCATAAAAAGCTACACTGAGACTCTCAAGCCTTATTTAGACAGGCAAAGGCAGTTCAACCCAAATTAAGAAAAAATAACATCAATTAATGAGGGAGAAGCTGCTGGGAAAGAGGTCATACCATGTGCTCAGAGCCTACTTAGACTTGAGATATGTGAAAAGTATTATAAAAATGTTGAATAAATGCAATACTGTGCAAAAGTCCTAAAAAACCTCTAATTTCTTTATATTTTCCAAGTAAAACAGGAAATAGGTATATTAAAACACACAGAATTACATGGAAATACAGTATACAAGGCAAAAGCTTTCTACAATTTTTAATGAGCCTTGAAAATCAATATTTGGTATGACCACCTGTATTCTTCAACACTGCCTGAAGTCTCTTAGTCAAGTTTCCATCTAGTTTCTTGAAGGTATCTTGGGGTGGCTATAGCTCAGACGGTAGACCAGGTTATCTACTAATCAGCAGGTTGGTGGTTCTATTCCTGACTGCATGGCTTTGGACAAAGTGCCCAAAGTAAACCCAAGTTGCTCCCCAATGCATCAACTGGAGTATGTGAATGTTACAGAGAAAACAATTTACTAGGAAAACACTGTTTGTATAAATAGGTAAATGGGGTAAAGTGTATAAAGCGCATTGAGTGCTCAGGTAGAGTAGAAATGTACATAAGAATCTGTCTGTTTACCATACAGGAATAGTTCTTCAGGCTTCTTAAAGCTTCTTCAAAGCTCTTCTGTGGATCTTGGCTGCCTTTTGTGCAGTTCTCCATGAAGATGATCCCGCACTGCTTCAGTAACGTTAAGGTCCAGGAGGCCAGTCCATGACTGATAATGTTCCACTGTCTGTTTTTATAGTTGTGCTTTTACTGCACTGGCAGCGTGTTGAGGATCATTATCATGCTAAAAAGGAAGCCAATCAAACTCTTTCCAGATGTTATTGCACACTGGATCAAAATCTGAGGGTATTTTCTTCTTTCATAATTCTATTAATTTGGATAAGGTCTCGCCACTGTTTGAAATGCAGCCTCGAACCATAACAGAGCCATCACTGTGCAGACACTCACTGTTGTATCTCGCTCCTGATCTCCTCCATACATATTGATCAAGATTCAAAGTTGGATTTATCACTCAATAAGACCCATTGCCACTGATTTGAAGTCCAGCACTTGTGTAATCTGGCATTACTCACCCTCTTTTCTCTGTTTCCCTTCTTTAAGAATGGTTTCTGGCTTCTTGACATCCGCCCTTCCACTGAAGCTATTTCTGATGAGGCTCAGCGAACGGTAGACAGATCAACTGAAGTGTCAGCATCTGTCACGTCTTTGCCTATTTTTCCCTCTTTTTTAAGTTAGTAACTTTCTTAAGTTAGGGACATAAGTTTAAGACATTGCTCATCTATTGCACACAGTTTGCGTTTTTTTTAGGCCCAACACTTTTTTTTTTCCTCCACTTGTCCAGTTTCCTCTGATTTTTAAGGATGTAGACACCAAACTGTGCTATCTTTGCCTGTACATTAGCACTGTTATAGTTTGCACATTACTTTTCTCCGTTTATATATACTGACTTATTGGAAGTTACATGTCTACTTTTTAATGCACAGGTACAATAAGCAATCTGTACTTTTCTAATTATTCTAAATGTCTTAACTATTTAAACATCTTTCAGTATCCTGCTCTGTTTGCACACTACAACCTGGGTTTGCTACTTATCTGTACTTTAATTTTAATAACTGCACAGTACTCTGTTTTAGTAACTATTGTCTATGATGTAAATATGTACAAATTGTGTGTGTTTATGTTCTATGTCCTGTGTCCTGTTCTGTTTGTATATGTGTTTTTTTGCGGATGTTAAACCAAATTTCCAATTGTGGGACAATTAAAGAATTATTCTATTCTATTCTCTTCTATTCTATTCTATTCTATTCTATTCTATTCTATTCTATACTTTTAACTAAAAAAAAATATGTTTTTACAACAGACTGCAGTAGCAAAGCACCAAAAGATAACAATTTAAAAATGGTTCATTATACTTTGAAGACAGTAAACTACAGTGAAGGTGAGACTGGTATTGTTTATGTTCATGGGTTTAGCACAATGTCTTTCATCCCTGTCGTTACTGTCACGTGGTTGATCCTCTCTGTCTATTTCTCTTTGTCTGTGCATACGTGTCTCCACTTGATGCATAGCTCTGTGCCAATCAACTGGCACACCTGAGACACTTTCACTTGTCACGCTTCACAGTATTTAAACAAGGGCTGGTCCTAGCCTGCTACGTTATGATGGGCAGCTAGGTTTCTAATCATGTTAAGAGGTCTGCATAATCTGGAGGCAGACTTTAAGCTGAAAAGAGGTCCTAAACAGTGCGTTTGTAGAGCTATTTTTCCATATGCTGAGCCCAACTAGAGCTGGCCTGGATGCAAACATCAGTTCATCTCTCTCGGCTAGATTAACCAGTCCTCACATACAGTCGGTTTCCTCGTGTCGTTATTTGATCTCTGAGTAATCTTTGTTTCCTTGCCTCAGGTTGTGCTTCACTCATCAGCGTGCTATCTAGTCTTTTTGGATGAACCCAGTCTGTCCTTCTCACTTCTCCATGTATGACCTACCAGCCAGCCTGCATTCTCCAGCCTGCTCCCTTCATCAGCTCAGTCCTCCAGCCAGTGCCAGAAAACCTCTCACTCCCAGAACTCTGTTTCGTAGCTTTGCTATTTCTGCAATATCATAGTAAACCTTGCTTAGTTCAATCTTCTGAGATCTTTGAGAGAGCCAGAATGTATTCATTTTCATGAAATACAATGAAAATTTTAACATTATTCGCAATACAAGTCCCAAAAATGGGTTTCATACCAGAAATTTACTGCTGTCCAAAAACTATTAATTGTATTATGCTATTCCATATGCAATAAATAATATCTGTTATTCCAAGTCAACTGCAGTAAAGTATAAGGGCTTTCACATGGTATTTAAGTCATTGTGTTATTTGCTGTTAATGTTGAGAAAGGAAACAGGAAACAGGTGTGAAGATATATTTTACTGTGTTTGTGTGTGAGCGTATGTGCATGCGTTGATTTTGAGGTACCTTTGGGTCTAAATATTACTGCACATTGTGAAAAACTAAGTAATTGTAAGTACTTCAAAACCTGTAAAAAACGTTAACAGAGAGGCTCATGGGAGATAAATTAATTATGACTGCAAGAGCCACACAGATTATGAGCAGAGGTCGACAGTTGTGTGGCGTAATGAAAAATTTGTGCAGCGTTTCCTACTGCCAAACCCAAAGGAAGCTGAGCTAATTTGTCTCAGTGTCACTTGGCTCCCACATCTCCTGCCCACCTCCTCCTATTCATGGCTCATATTCCTCATCTGTGTTGTCTCCCTCCATTTCCTCCTCTTAGCATCTGGCTCATCTTTAATCTAAAACAACTGGATTCCCTACAACCACTTGGCCAAAGACAGTGAAGCATCTTATTTACAGCTCCATCTCCGCAGTTACACATGCATAATGCGCTGTCTTAGATGCACATGCTTATAACACTCCTACATAAACACACACTCAAAGCACATGACACGCCTAAAAAAAAGGCTTAAAGCCATTGTTATGCAAACTGGGCCTCAAGTGCTTCGTAATGCTCCCAAAATAAATTCACCTACCCAGAGGCGTTTTAATTTGGATTTTTTTTTTTATGTGTCTTCTACTCCGACTGTTTGTTAACAGCAAGAACACCGTCAGGCATGTAAGGCAGCGTTTGTCTCCTCCAGAGCTTCAGCGACATCTTAAACAGGCATCAAATGTCACTTGTTCTCCCACGACGATCTACGGTTCACTAACTGCGACTGATCCCCGCTTATGAATGAATTAATGACACAAACAAATTCTCTATGAACACAGCCTAAACAACACACAGACAGCTGAGCCATGGATATAGACAATTTATCATTCTGTCATCTACAAAATCCCCTACAGCATTATTATTCCCCACATGTCTGTACAATGGAGATGTATAACCATGTAAAAACCATGCCCTGTGTCTCATCACTGACAAATATGCTGCACCCATGAGAAAATATGGTACAGGGGAAACAAGAGAGTGTCACGCAGGGAGCAAGCGAGCATGCAGCGAACTGCAAGGAAAGTACTAAGTAGCTGTTGATGTAATGTAGGTCAGGAACTTAAGAATAAATCCAGGGCCTCCAACAGGCTCTGCATGTCATCGGGGGGTCACTATGCTGCAATAGGTCATTTGTCTCACATTAATATGTACGCTATTAGGACCAGGTCTCCGTCTAGCTGGTAATTACTTTAACACTACAACCAAGGGAGCCACTTTGGCCCTTTGGCATTTTAAAAAAAAAAATTATGAAACATGAATTTAAAGCCTATCATCTCATATTTCAAAACTTTTCCTGAAACAGGTTTAATCATCATAAATGTTGCGATTTGTGGGATAAAAAGAAAAAAAAATCTCTACCACCTATAGCTAGAACTGCTGAGAACATCATTTTAAAGATTAAAAATAAAAAAAAAATCAATCAGATGTTCCCAGAAGCCAATGTGATGATGTCTGTGGCTGAGGGGGGTGGAGCAAGGGCCTATGAAGCTGCATCTCGATTAGCTAACCCAGGGTTTCATAATTCAGTTACAATTGCGTTCATATTGAGGGGGCGGAGTTGGCAGCAAATAGATGTGCTGGCAGCAGAGCAGCTGATTTAAACTGCAGTTTAGTATTAAAGCCTACAGCTTTCATTTACAAAGCAAGGAAAGAAACTGCAAAAAATGCAGACTGTGTGAGTATTGGTTAATTTTTTAATTGAGATTTTTAATTGAAGTTAAACCCTTTCTTTCTATAAGTGACCCAGAGAAAGATTGTCGTGCTTTTATTATAACTAGACTGAATTCCTGCAGTTCATTATATGTGCTCCTGCCAGACTTATAATCCTTCTTTATAATCCTGTGTCCCACACCGCTCACTTGATCATTGGTCAGCAGCTTCTAGTAATTTAGAATTTCCTGATTGGCTTGTACAGCTGACTGGGCAAACTTTGGAAATGTCTCAGATTAGGTCATCTATCTCACTAACAGCACTCTAACTAAAAACATACCTCTTAGTCAACAGCTTCTGCTCTTTTATCGCTTTTATTTTTTTACTTTTTTACTATTACTAGCTATGTGCGCGTCTTTGCTTTGGCATTAGCTCAAGATCTATACACTGGTAAAGTTACCAGAACAATACTGATTGTAATGATAAATCATAGATGTAGAGAATTTCATAACCAATGGGTTGCTTCATACAGTAATGATGCTCACCTGAACGTAGTTTTCTTATCTCCACATTGTTGTCATCTGCTTTGCTGCATTATTTTCTAGCCTTTAAGCATATTTACGGCAGCTTATTTTGATAAAATTTGAGCTGACTGTTAAAATACTTAGCATAACAAACACAGAACATGCACAAACTAAAACAATGTAGCATGCTCACATGAAACTGAACACAGTCATAAGATGGCCTCACGAAGGCTCGTAAAAAGTACAAATATATATGACTGTGGGATTTGTATAGAATATTTTATACACCCTATGGATGTTGGCACTTAGACTACCATCTAGGTGGAGATAAGAAACATGCGCACATACCATTATAGCATGGTTATTTACCACCCTTTTAGTTAATAATTATATTATGTGTTGTTCTTAAATTATATAAGTATCATTCCTTTGATGATTTTAAATGCCTTAAATAAAGTGACTTAACTTGGCTAATTTACTCTCACAGAGGACTTGTCAAGCTTAAATTACTCATTTATACAGTTGAATATATTTTCATCAAATAATTCAGTTCTACTTGGAAACATTTATTTAATAAACATTTAAAAAAAGGTATTGATTTAAGTAGAAAAACCAATTAAGCAAAAACATCTGTGTGGCATTTGCAGTTCAAATCAAACATTAACCACATTTAAATCCTTGGCTGTCTCTTTTTATTGGAAAAGGAAGCCAAACAAACTTTGGATGGAGCTCAATATGTCTGTACACTGTAGCATGGTTGCATCACAGCGGTGGTTATCTCAGCCTTCACAAACAAGCCTGTTAGAAGTGTGTAGGAGCTGTGTAACGTAATTGGCAAACAGAGACTAATTAGGCAGTAAAAGAGATGAGCACACACACGCTAACACTTCCTTCTCATACTTCTATTCCTGTTAGTGCCCTGCACTGACTCTCATCCAACCCAGTGACCTTTGTGTAGTCTCTATAGTTAGCCTGTTTTTACATTTCCTCAACAACTACATCAATTATCTTAAAGGACTCAGGAGTGACCTTAAATAATCCTACACTACAAAAAATGTGTAATGACAAACACGGGGGGCGGGATTACACTGGAAAATGGAAAATACTCTACGTGCTGCAGATAAAAGTATCTGTTTCACATCTCCTCTGCAGGAAGGCTACACCCTGCAGCGATTATAATGTGCCATATCAGAAGAGGGTGCACAAAGATAAGTGGGATTACAAGTGAGGGAGCTTGAATTACAAGTGTCACTCTTGGGCTAGCTTGTATTTTTGTGCAGAGGAAACGGTGAGATGATTCATCTTAACTTGTGCAGTAATAAGTTGCACTTACTGTCTGATACTGCATTAGAGGCCCGCACAGCATCTATTGTGGTGAACGGGGATGATAAGGCAATCAGTTGGCCTTTTCTAAAAACAGACTGCAAGCAGTTATGGTCAAGGAGTCAAAAAAAGACATCGTCATGAAGTCGAGGAGACATATATTGACTTATTTTCAAGCTATGGTACAACCTATTGTGTAACCTATGATAAGAAGATAAAAAAGAACGGCTCTTTATGATAAACCTCATGAAGCAAAATGGCTTGTTATTGAAACTCCAGTTTCTAGTAAGGAGTTTCAGAGAAAGTGAAGCCGAGGTCATTTTCCCTACTGTAAAGGCCATAACATACCGACGTGTCATGTAACATTGTAAGCGGTGTGTTTTAATGGAAACTTCGTCCTCAAAAGTCAAAAATCAATCAATGATGAGATGGTCCTGATGATTCTAAACAAGAAAAGGACCAAGCAGAGATTCTTGGTTCAGCCAGTTGTCACAAGAAGGCAGCAGCAGGGAGAATTTAATGGTTTGATCCAGGAGCTGAAGCCGCGAGAGGTCACTGGCAGAGTTGGGGCCACATCTAAGGAGGCAGAGAGCTGTTGACCTGGAGCAGCATCTAGCTATGTGTCTGAAACAAAATATTATTTTTCTACTATTTGTACATTCTGAACTGGTATGCGTTTGAGCTCCAGTGCACTTGTTGCCAAGTGAAGCGGTCTGTTTGGTCAGATCAGTTTGAGCTTGGTTTAAAAGAATAAATGCCACAAATTCATCTAGCAAAATCCTTCTTAAAATAATTTATTAAATATGTGAATTTAAAATATATGCATGGATTTTACACGCGTGGTCAATAAAGGCCTTCATCTTGAACAACATTTAGATTTGACTGGGATTCATATTTGAGCCTCTGTGAATTGGATGTTGATGAGTTGCAAAGAGATCCTACCACATTTTAGCCAGTCACCATAGTCAGCCTAGTTCCTCTGGACTTCATTTCCACTTATTTTGCATGCACACATTTTAGTGTACATTTTAATACATAATTTTAAACATTCCCTAGGACTTTAGAAATGAATATATTAATATTTTATCCTTGTGCATTGTCAACGTTCTCTACCCAAAGTGCAAACTGTAGTATTTCTGCAAAGAGGTTTGACCTGCTGCAACATTTGCATTTAAGATTTGTTGTGCTGGTTGTCTGGTGATGGATGTAATGCAAAAAAGTCTTGAGCCTCCAGAAGACCTTCAGTAGTATGGTGCAGGCCTTTGGAGAGCATAAATAATACTCCATAAAAGCAGCTTGTTGGTCTGTACTGAATATTTGATGTGTTTAGTTTATGACAACATGTCTGAAAGACGACAGCGAGCTTAATTAATGATAACCCTTTAAAGAAGATGAGCTTTGACAGGAGAGAACTGCCCACCCGAGGTATGAATCATCACATGGAAAAAAGGAACTAGCGACTAGGTCAGCTACGCATAGCTTGGGGGGGGTCAAGGAAGGAAAACAGATACCCTGACTTTGCTCACTTCTGCAGCATATAAATGTAATGAGACAGTTGATAGTTCGCCTTAGTTTAAACACAGCTATTCATAAAGAGTCACACTGGTGGAAAATCTTGCAGTATGCAGTTTCAAAAAAACAGCCTCCTCATGCTGTAAGTAGTCATGTGAAATGTAAACAAAAAAGAAATTGGGGAAAATGACTTTGTTGTCCTTTATATTAATGTGGCTATTTGGAACAGCCACTAGCACTTCGGATTTCTGGTTGACAGCACATTGTACAAGCAACTTGTTAAGAAGCATAACTCCATACACCCCATATGTTGCAAATGGGGTGCACGCATATATTTAAACAATTAAATAATACCATTCATACGTTTCTGCTTTGCTCGACTTTCATTTGCAAAATAATTTGTAGCAAATGAAAAACTGAGAGATCGAATCAGCTGCTTCTCATGTGAGTGTCTATCTTAGTCATGGACTGCAGCTAGCAATGACAGGCTGTTTAACTGCAGAAATTCTACACTTGTCCCTAGGTTCTGGTTAGTGTCCACCAAATTTGCAGCACATCTCCAGAGCAGAAGAAGGCCTGCTGACAAAAACTGCAGTCCAAGATAGTGGAATTTGAATATAACCATGGGAAAGCAGCTAAATGATATCAAGGATGACCACAAGAGCAACAGGATCAGTGAGTCATGGGACAAACACAGCAGACTTCGTTTTTGGTTTTTTTAACTGAGAAGACAATCCAAGTACTAAAGGTATTGCTATTAGTAATATCAATGAATCTATTTATCCATCCATCTTCTGCTTATACAACTTAGGGTTGTCATCACATGACACTCACAGTCACATTCACACTTACAGCCAGTTTATATTCACCAGTGACCCTAACCCTGTTGAGACCTTTGCCTCAGCAGAGTTTCTTTAACCCAAACCTCCTTATGATTTGTTTGTTTAAAACTAACAAATTGTAAGCAATAAATCATATAAACCATGCAGCCTTTAGCAAAATTGATACAAACAAAACTTCTGCATTTATGAATTTATTTCTTCAGCCCTTATGCCTCCCTATATAAACTTTTCCAAATTGAACCATCACCAAGTTTTGATCTAACCAGTGCATCAAGGCATCAAAGGACATCTTGTGCCTACGCCTGCAACATCACTGGCTTCTGACAAAATGGCAGTATTTGATTTTTTTTTCCACGGAGAAAATTTTTTTGGGATGTAACATTACTGCCATAGCCAGTTTGAAGCCAGCTATGACATTAACATCTGTTTAGTATTGCAATGATCCTGTCACACAGCCTTACTGTTCGCATAAACAGCACCAGTGCAAGACAGCGCAGCATATGTCAGAGAAGACTGCAGAAGTTATTTTGCTCTGTATGCTTTTTTAAATGAATCAGTAAAACTAGCACCAGAAATTTGTGTTTATACCTATAACAGACGGCTGCACGTTGTGCATGTCTGAGTGCTACATATGAAGAGAGGTCAATGTCTCCCTCACTGTGTACACAAAACACAGAGGCCCACGTCCAACTTCCCGTCAAAGACACACTGACTTCAGCGGTCTGTTCAGTGAAGGAGGAGGGCATGTTGTTTTTCAACTCCAACTAACAATCCTCGCCACTGAAAACCAAAGAGAAAGACTTCATTCATGGTAAGGTAGAACAAACAAAAATATTCCTCTGGGAGACATTAGTCTCACATTGTCTCCAATTCAAATCCCTTAATTTACATACTCATTCCAAACCGTTTACCAATTACAGCACTAACGACAAGCAGCACTGCGGCAGTGACATTTGGTTTATGTGTAAGCTGTAAGACGCATGTCCTGTTAGAGTTCGTCAGACACACCCAATAACTAATGCCAAAGAAGTTATAAATTTGTTGGCTAATAGCATAAGAAAAACCATTCAAGGCAATGGGGCGTATGTTCTGTATTAAAGTCACAGTTCTAAGTAGGGAGAGAGATGAGAAAACTGATAATATTCTCAACTCCTTGAGCATATTAGCTTCCCTTAATATTGTGCACAGACAGCTCAATAAAGACAATTGGTTCTTTTGTCTGGGGGCTTGTGAGGTCAACAATTTCATGACAGGAAATAGAATAATACTAAATAAGGGATGTCAAACTCTTCTCGCAGTGTGGGCCACACACAGCCCACTTTGATGCTAAGTGGCCCGGACCAATTCAATTTGATTTTTATGGCACTAAACTGTAGCCTTTCTGTCAGTGTAAAGATGTTCAACTACACATAAAACCTGAGATCTTAATTTGATCCGCTCCTGCTAAACAGGTGAAAATAGATTTAAGAATGACAGGACTCAGGCTATGTCCACACGTACACAAGTATTTTTGAAAGGAGTTTCCGTTTTTTGTTTTTTTTTTTTGTTTTTTTTAAAGAAATCCCGTCCACACATGCAGTTTTAAAAAAAATGTCTCCATCCACATGTAAATGCTAAAAACGATAGGTTGGCCAATCCGAAGTCTAGAAGCATGGGAGGGAAAGACTGAACAGGGTCTTGTACTCTCACAAAACCTTAAGTACTTCTGAAAAGTTGTAGTTTTTCTGGAAAGGCAGATAATTTTGTGTTACTTTTCAAGTGCCTTCATCATTTCAGATGTTAATAACTAGAGACTATTTTTGGCTGTTGTGTAGACTCACAACTTAGGAATGAACAAAATGCATACAGCATACATAAATTCAATTTTTGGGGGGGACTGAAAGGTCTATTGCTTTATTACTTATTCAAGTTGGGTATCATATTTTTAAAAAGTAACTAAGTAACTAATTACTTTTGCAAATAAGTAATCAGTAAAGTAATGGGATTACTTTTTGGAGAAGTAATCAGTAATTAGTTAATAATTACTTTTTTCAAGTAACTTGACCATCAGTGATCATTAGTGCCACAATTGAGTAAAGATGACCAACGTTGAGCTATTGGCGTGCTGGATCCTGCTATATGTCCAAAACTGTCCCTGGAGCCTCTCTAGTCTCATTGTTCTTGGTGTAAATCTGAGAGAAACTGAGATGAGCTGCTCAAGCTGGTACTGGCACATCCAGCCTGAAGCTGTATAATATAGTAGTGCAATGTGGACAATGTAGTAGTGCTAATCTCTCAGGATGAGGAGATACTTCCTTGGAAAAAAATCTAGTTCCGACATGCCGCCTTACTGGATGTGGGACACGCTGGGTCAGCGGTTTCATTAGAGGGCAGCCACAACCAGCAACCATTGCACAGCTGCAGACTGTACTCATCCAGAAATAGGGAGAGCAATTTGTCAACAACAGATCCAGAAGCTTGAGCAATCTATGCACACACAGGTGACTGCATCACATTAGATGAGGCCAGACCTCATATTGAACTGTTTGTATGTATATACAAAACAATATCCATATTCTAATTCATTCAAATCAGTAACAATCAAAATTGTATAAAGATGCTCTACAGTAGCCTGAGACTGAAACCTATTGTTCTGAGCAGATTCCGCCTCATAAGGGACGATCTTACTGCTTGAATACAGCATAACGTAGTCTCCGCTGGATGTTGGTTCTCGTCTCTTACTGTACACTTAAATTCCACTGTGTTTTCAGCACAGCAACAGCTGGTTAAGACTGCTCCGTCAAACATCAGTTTACCTGTTTTGGTTTTAAAAGGTGGAAAAGGTGAGTTAGGCAGGAAAGTTTACTTTTGTCCCCTTAGTCACATCACCAGAGCCATTGACAAAATAGAAGAACACTGAGAGGAAGGCCTCTACGACATTGGTTTCCAATACAGATTGTTGGAGGAAACCCAATTTTCTTGGGTACACAAGATTTAACGCAATGCTGACTTATATCCAACACTGGATTCAGGGGTTCAGTTATGCACTTTGATGCGATACTTGGGCTCTATTCAATGGGAAACCCATTAACAAACTGTGCACCTGAACAGTTGTACAGACAAACGTTTAACATCAAAAATAAGACCACATGAAAAACATCTTATGAAAACCTCATCTTTTTTTTAAATTAAAACAAGAAAACACTGAAACAAATTTTCCAGATTCTCATGGACATGACCAGAAATTTTCTATTTATTTTAATCCTTAAAATGTAGAACATTTTTTGACTACGCAGCAATCTGCTTTCCTTTTGTCTAATCCTCTGTACTTTAGCTGTTGTTTACCTTGTGTCTTACAGAGCCTCGTTATGTGGAGGAGGCAGCCAGTCGCTGCACTTTTCTGATTACTTTCTGTGACCTGAAGCATTTTCTGCGCCATGCTCTTTGCATGAAGACCTCACTTTGAGTAAACTATGTTGATTTAACATGACAAGTGCATGCACAACTCTATTCAAAGTGTTTGCTTTTCTTCTGTGACATCTTGGGCCTTCAAACAAAGATTATAGTTGTTTTATATACTCAGCGAGGATTAGATTTGCAGAAATAGCAGGATGGAAGCAGTTTAAAATTTGCCAAACCTTCAAAAAATACATACATTGGAGCAGGGGCATTTAAAAAAACAACAACAAAACATTTCATTATGAAATGATGAGTGAACGAGAATTCAGAGATTATTTGTCTGTTGATGGAGAAAAGTTGTCCTGATGTGCGACCCAAAGCCCACAGAAGAAGCATGGTTGCAACAGTTTCCAGCTGAGCAGTCACTGAGATAAAGCAACTGTTGTTTGTGCTCTCTACTGTGATAATAGGCTGTGTTAGGGAGCAAAAGGATCTATATTTGACCCTCAACTCATATAGATACAACAAGGGAGCAGGGGGTATTTTTAGCACCTAACCGATGTGGATCTGAACAAATGGAAAGTTGCTCGATACCTCTGCCTGCTTCAGAGTTTACAAAAGTGAAAGCGTTCCTGTGTTCTTTGATCTTTTTTAAATCCTTTGCTGCTCCTATGCAGGTATTGATTCCTCTCTGATAAACGCTCAAGTCTGTACTTTGTATGGAAATGTTTCAGCGCGCACCGAGGAGGAATTGACCTCGTGCGGAACAGACGTACTGTCACGCCCCACTGAGACGTGAACGTATCTGTCACCTCAAATTTTGATCCACAGCTTGACCCATAGTGGCCCGGCTGAAAGGCTACAAGCACATGGCCCCTGTTCAGCAAACTGATGCGTGTAGGTTGGTCATTAGTGTATAATCATATGAGTCTAACTGGGTGATTCATCTTGGAGAGAGAGAGCACGAGTGATATGTCTCCATCATCACAACCCACTGACTTCTGTCATGACTTATCTGAGAAATAATTCCAATCATGACCTTCAGCCTGTGAGGCGACATATCCCAGTCCATCTACAACACTGATTACACTTAATGAGCAGGTTTTTTTGTTTTTTCTGTAAAGCACGATTTACAAGAGACCCTCAGAATTTAGTCTAAGTATTAACATATGGCAAAGAGAGCGGAAATCTTACTGTTTCACATCTGCTGAGCTCAAATATCAAAGATACTCTACTCCCACGCATATGCAGCTACTCACTTTATAAAATCATTGCGGGTGACAGACAAATATATGTGACTTTGAAAAACTTATTTTTCATTTAGGCCATAACAGATTAATATAGGAAATCTACAAAGACAAAAGAGTCACATGGCTTGGTGCAGTCTTAGATGATGCCAAGTAAAGCAATACCAGTGCAATGCAGTCTGTCATTCAGTACCTCTTTTATCTTTCTTCCTAAAAAGATAAATAATAGAGCAATACCGGTCTGCTTTCATTTTTGGGGTATTGAATATGGGTGTTTTGTAAAAAAACACAGTTGCATCTAAGACGTGTCCATGATGCACCGCATCTCACTCCTAATGGATTACATATGTACTCTTGAGCAGGGATTCTTGATTCATTGGCTACTCTTCATATTTCAGCACCGCAACCTTTTCCTAAACCCAACCAGTGAGTAAAAACAAAACTGATCACTGAACTGAGCGAGCGAAATCAAAGTAAAACAAAACAAAAAACAGAGGCCAACACGGTCTCCTGGCTGCGTGCTATCTCTGTGAAGCCAGCAGCTTCTGAAAAATGACAGCATCTATCACTGCTTACTCCTGTCATTGGTAACCTGCTGTTGTCATTCTTCTTCTTTTTTTTTGCTTTCTGTTTTCATTCTCTTCAATCTCTTTCCTCCTGTTATTGTAGACTCGTCTTAACTAACGGTGGCAGAGATTATTTAAAAAAAACAAACAAAAAAAACATTTAAAATAGACAACGGTGTTACAGGGGCCACACAGGAATCTGGATGCCAACATTTTGCATTTCACTTTTTTTTTTTTTAAACAACAGCATGGTGATTCAGTGATCAAAAAAACAAAAAAACTGACAACACCGAAACGTAACAGACAATAAGAGGGTCATGGGTTCAAATCTACAGGCTGGCTAGATAGATGATTCTGTCTCTCTCCAACATGTCCAGGGTGTGCCTTTTACCCAATTACAGCTTGGATTTAGTAAAGCTTATCCAATCATGAATTGGAATAGAATTGAATAATCAAAGAATCATGATGAGTGGACTTGTTTTTGTCCTATCTTTGATTTGAACCAGGTTTCACCATATAACTCAGAGTTTTCACGTTCTCTTTTTATATCGTCATCACAACAATTTAAGTATTGTGATTTAAGTGCATTGAAGCAATTGTTGTTGTGATTTGGTGATATATAAATAAAACTGAATTGAGCAGAAGAGACAGATAAGGTCTCTTTCACATGGGCCTAGAGACCCACTGACACTGGCACTGGCAGGTACTATGACTGCTAAAGCCCCAGTCACACCTAGAGACCAGTCAGTGACATTTTTCCCTAGCAACTTCTGGTTGCTAGGGAAAAATGTATATTCTACAACTGATTGTTCAGTGGTTTCTGGACATGGTTGCTGTTGCTAGGTGAAACTGGTCACGAAGAGGTAAACAGTGCTTCACTGAAAACATCTCTGGGATTGCTTTGGCTGCAGTTTGCCAACTTGTCTTCACTAAGCAGTAGTGAACCTGTACTGTACAGCTGTTCACTGTTGTTTTTAAATGTGGTTCAGTTGTTGTTCAGTCCAAACATTGTCTATTTCCCTTTTGGGTCACATGAACTACCGCTCTGAGCGATAGTTAGTTGGATAGACCAGTTGACATCTTCCTTACTAGCTACAGGTTATTGTGGCAATCCGCTAGCAATCAAAGCAATCACAGGGACGCCTTTAAAATCTGACCGTCAGAAAGCTTTACTAAGTAGGGCTCACTCTCTAGCTTTTAAGCCTAAAATTAGTTTCAAAACAAACAACAACAACAACAAAAAAACAAAACAAATGCAAACTTTAAAAGATACGTCCTCCCAATGGTTAAAATTTTTATGAATGGAGGAATGTACAGTGTGCTTCAGACACCACAGCAGTAAAACCTTCCACCAACCATTCAAAGGTATGAATGAAATATTTAAAAAGTGCACTCTTGTAACAAATTTAATTTCACAACAATTGTTCTTCTTATGACACTAAACAAGTACTGACTGAAAAGGGTGCATAACGCTTCTCAACTTCCCTTAACGGGCTCATACACTGGGAAAATAAATCCTCAAACTATTCCATGGGACCTTCTTAAACTGACGGAATGAAGAAAGGAAGGACATAATTTACGAGTCTCAGTGCATGGCTGATATCCAAAAGGAATGTGGTAAATCTTCGTGCTGTGAAGCTGAAATAGCAAAGCTCCTAGAGAACCAAGAATGAAATGATGCATTTGGTTTCTGAGCGCCGCATTTCTGGTTTTCCTCTATTTACTCCATTATAATAGGTTTCTTATGTTCAGCGTGTGTGAAAATGGAAAAAACAATGATGCAATGATTTCTGACTGAGACTGTAAGGCACATTCTATAGCGCAATTATATATTAAATCAATTTGAAAACCACTATTTGGCTGTTTTCTTGGCAACCGCAAAAGCTCTGATCGCTTTTGGTCGACATTGCAGAAACAGTTCAGTCTGTGCATCATGAGTGGACTCTTTGGGCATGTAAGATTGATTGTCTTTTGTTCACAGGGGCAGGAAGGTACAATGCTGCCTGCCACATGGGCCACAGTAAGTGATGGAATGTGCTGCACTTCATATCTGATTCTGCTGTGGGTGCGGAGCAGAGAACATGCAGGAAAAGGCAGCAGACGCTACGTAGAGACCAGAGAGCAACATCGGGACATGGCCCAGATGGGCATCAAGGGAAATAGTTTCCAGCCAAGACATTAAGTGTGCACATACTGGCAAAGAAACAAGAGCACAGTCTAGCTTGCACTGTGCGTTGTGTGGAGTAAACAAAAGATGCAGCAATGAGCATCCAGAGTAGGCGCAAGGTTTTTCTTTTTTAAGCCAAAACAAAAAAGGCTAAAAATGAGGGAAGGTGTAAGGCAACCACTGGGTAAGTGCTTTTCTGGTGCTATATATATCAGTTTATTGCTCTTTAAAAGCAAATAACTAATTAAATTTTTCCTACAGGTGTTGGAGTGGTTTCATAAAGGAACTGAGATGGCGCTCTGCTATTGACAATCTGCTGAGTGTACTTGGGAAGATTTAATAACCTCTTATCTTATCAGTTTAACCCAGTGCGCACCTGAAAGTTGGAACAGCAAAGTCAACCATTAAACTGTGCCTCGAAGCTACGTGGACGTCGATGTATATTAAATAAGCAGTAGATGTTTCCTGCTGCTAACAGAAAGGGATTAGTTCTAATTTTTCCTGTTTAATTGTGTAAATAAAGATCGGGTGTGCGCACTTGTGACCATGGATGTGTGTGTGTAGTGGCTTTCCGATAGGTCACCGAGGTGATGTGTTGAAGGCAGACCTACCGACACGTGTCAAGTTACGGCTAAAAAAAATGACAATGTCCGCACATTTACCTTTGACTTTTCCACTAAATGCTAGCTGCACTCTTTTATCCGCATAGAACATCACAAATCACGCGGTTGGGTAGACTAACCAAATTTGCGCTATGGTTACACTAACTATGGTTACACATTGTGATTACGGTCAAAAGAACAATACGCGCCACCTGGCATACATCAAACTGAATAAATAAAGTTATCGGTGACTGCCTCCTAGTTCATGGAAAGCGCATCAAAATGAAAAGAAACAAAAACAAATTTATTAATAGATTTATTTAGAAACCAACTCTGTGACAGTAATTTTGTGTGTGTTTAAATAAAGCTTTTTGCGTGTATACAAAACTTGGCTTACATTTCAAACAGCGTTCCGTCCTGTAAAGTGTCTGACATTGCAAGTTTGCATACAAACTATAAGTTGCTGCCATCTTGTGGCCGCACTTGGCTACTGTCTCTGGAGGCAAGCTTGAGTCTGAGCCACTGGAGTCTGTAGCTGCTGTCATTTTCAAGGGTGTGTCCTGGAAGCTAAGAGGCCAGGAGCTTTTTTGTGGTTCTTTGCACTTAATCAGTATTGCATGCACTATATGTTAATTATGTTTCACTGCTCTAAGATCAGTTGCAATCTGCATGTTACCGCAGAAGGACAGTTAGGAAGTAAGTGAGGATATTACTGCGATTTTTCATTTCAGCAGATTAGTTTTAGCCAGGAAAACCTTTATAAAGAAAATTCACATAATGAAGAGGGTACTGTGATCTCTGGAATGTCCCAAGGTTTTAAGTTTGTGTACGTATGCTTTAGAGCCTAAAGTCTTTGTTATATTTTAGTTCTAGTATATATCAGTTAATTGATTATTGGTGTCTGTGTTTCTCCGATTAATGGATTGGATTTATATAGCGCTTTTCAAGGCACCCAAAGCGCTTTACAATGCCACTATTCATTCACTCTCACATTCACACACTGGTGGACTGATTGGGACATAGTATGAATAATCACTTGGTTGGCTGGATGCAAGTTTAATGAGTTGATTTGCTTTTTCTCCCTCATTTCTTAAAAAATATTAACCATGTCACACAATACTAAAGCTTCAATTCAGTTTGCTTTCATTATACTAATGTATTTATTTTTTTCCATTAAGCTGTAGGGCTGTTTTTCTAATCAGATTAAGAAATGTTTTTCTTTTAGAGAAAGTCATACTACAAACATATGATAGTACACAATATGATGGTACTGTGTGAGCTCAACCTTTAATATTCGCAATAATAATATTACCCATACAACACTGGTGGGGAACATGGAAGGGTGAGTATCATCTCTGCTTGCCTTTCAACAACAATCACCCCACTTTACTGGATCTTTGCATAATCACAATGCATTTTAAGCTTTTCACTTGCTATTTTACCCTCTCTTGGCTGCTTTGTCTCACACGTAGGAGCATTGTCCCCTAACCACAGGGCTACTGGTTTGATCCCCAACCCTGGCCTCTTCAGATGGCGCCACAGCCTTAGCACCCAGTGGCCACAGTACGTTACAGCGATTGCAATTTCGATTTTTTCTGTTGTTGTTTTTACATTTTCCTAGCTAGCAAATTGAGAGTTTGTTTTAGGACAACAGTAATTTCCCCGTTTCAGTTGTCTTCTTAAAAAGATGCACTCTGACAGGAACACTCTGCACTTCTTTTCTATTTGTTAGACAAAAAAAAACAGCAATGTCAAATTTATGATAGTGCAACAGCAGCTTTTCGGTTCATTACTTTTGTGCCAACATGAATAATAGATTTGCGGTCCAAAACATTTTCACCTATTGCTGTTGACTGAGCTGGAGAGACAGAAAGAGAGCACATAATGTATACATTTGTATTTATGCATGCACTTCACAGAGATTTCAGTAATTTTGTTTATATCCAAATGAGTCATGAAATTTGTTTGTGTGCCTCTGTGTAATAGAATTTGCCTTTTTCTGATGTAGTCATGAAGGAAATATGCAGGTAATGTAGTCAGTCTAAAAAAACCCCAACTAAAACTGTATTTTTTTCTTTTTCTTTCTTTTCACATACTCTCTGATTACACTATAACAATAATTGACTTCCTTAATCCCCAATATGATGCACAGATCCATAAGAGAGATGACTTTTACTCCTTTTTCTTTCTTCTTTAATTGCATGGACTGGCCTGAGGATAGAGATGATGAAATGTCACGTACAGTTCGATCTCCCAAGAATTTTTGTGTTTGCTCATGCAGGTATGAGTGTATTCACATTGTATGTGTGTTTTGCGGTCAAGCTGTTATGAGCTGGAGGGGGCACAGGGCTAAGTGGAGCCTAGCAGCAATATCTAGATGGGTATTGTGGACTTCTCTTTTAACAATCCAGAGTGACAGCACTTTGTAGTGGAAGCTATTCTTAGAGCCCCTGGTTCAATTGCATGGGTACAATTGAATTGGAGGATGCCGTGCCACATCCATGGTCACTTGATGGGGCTGACACAAACACTCACACTCTTACACTCACACCTGTCTATCACACCTCCACGAGCGTTAATCCAGCTGAGGCTCTCCGGATCACCTTCTTCGTTCTGTCTCCTTTGTTCGCTCACACGTTCTCTTCTTTTGTCTCTCCAGACACTCTCTATCGTTATCTCTTCGCTATTACTCCCTCTCTCGTCTCAATTGTCTTAACCACAGCCAAGGGAAGAGTGCAAAGTTAAGCTGCAAGAAATTACCAAGGACGCTGTATTTCTCTGTTCTTGTTGTGTCTCTCATCCTTGTCTTGTTAAGGCGTCTCATAATTAGGAAACCATGGCTATTTTTGAATGTTGTCTATCCGTAAATGAATCTCTTTGCTGCGTTTTTAAAAAAAACTACCTGCTGGGTCAAACTCATTCACTTATGTGTAATGGTGTAATGTAAATTATCAGATGCTCCCATTGTGTTTTCATATAAAAAATAAAAAAACAAAATGAAGTGAAGCAACTTTGGACAGCTGATGTATAAACATATTAATGTTTTGCACTGGTATTAAGTAAAATCTTAGGGGTTTTTTGTAAGTTATCTGGCTGCTTAGATGACGACACTGACCACAATATAATGACCTTACTCAAGTGTCTTCAATGCAACTAAACAGCAGGGTTGAAATTAAAACATACGTAAACATACTTTCTTTTCCTGGAGGAAAAGAAAATGTCCTTTACAAATGTACTTAATTTTGTAAAGATGTATTTCCTAAATTAACGTTAAATACATTTCAGCCAATTGATGTTGAGCTGATTCTCATGGAGAGGACAACTACACTCCTTTGTCTATTTCATGGACGCCCTCTCACAATTACTAACTGTGGATGTTGTCCAGTTGACACTGACCAGTAGAGCCGTGTCTCTATTACCACAGGTCCCTCCCATGATATTCATCTCAACATGCCAAATGTTTTTTAAGAAAAACAACAAAACCTACATTACTTGACTGCAAGATAAAGACGCAAAACTAACTCCATGACAAACACACATTTATTCTTTCTTTACCATAGAGACTTTGACAAAAAACACCTGCTGTATTTTCATTTAAAGGAAAGGAAAAAGTCCCACAACTAATATCACACTTTTTGTTACCAAACAAAACTGAATGAAGAGATATAGCAGTGATAGTGAGTGGAGCCACTTGACTTTCAGTGCGTCCTTTCTATGTGAACTCTGACCAAGAACAACAAATCCTTTTTTCACCTTCTTCTTAAAGAACTCTTTTCTGTTAGAGCTTTGGGATCCTGCAGCTAAACGTGGTGTAAAGTACTAGCTAACAGCACTCAGGGCAGTGAGAAGGTCAGAAAGCACTCCCAGCTTTCGCTCTCTGGCCCCTGAGACCAGATCGCAGTCTGAATCATTTAGCTGGAAAGTTGTTCCAAACCACAATGTACTGCATGCATATGAAGCTCCTATATCTATGTAACAAATCCAACGATCCCTGTATTGTCATTCAGCATTTTTATCTGTGGCTATACCGAAACTCATGACTGTAGAAAGTTTGCCACACTGATTGTAGCTGCACTTACAGAGCAGAAGTTCACTTTATGGATCGCAAAACCTCAGTAATGTTTATTCTGTATGCACTGAAACTTCTGTGCCACCCACTAATGTTTGCAAATTAAGACTAAATACATCATCCAGTGGGGCACCACTCATTCACCGAGTGCACCTGCACACACAGACCCACTGAGGAGCATGCCTCTCTGATGCATTACTGCAGCAGCAGCTGTAATAGTAATGAATATGCTTGTTTAGTAATGTGCCAGAGGTGTTTGCCTAACAATGGGCACATTTATTAGCCACACTATGCAAAATGCACAGGGGACTAAGGACCAACATGTTCTCTCATGTGATGCTGCTCAAGTAGGTTTAATTAGGATCAGAAACACTTGTGGACAATTAAGTCCCCTAACAATTTAATTCTTATGTATTTTATGCACACAGAAACACGACTGTAATTATTCTGCCTTTACATTATTAGATGCATGCGTAGGCATACAGAACAGGGTCGCGGGAGTTAATTTGCTGCTGCATTGAAATTTCAAAACACAACAAACAAATAGATTTACACATATGCACATGGTGTTAATTAAAAATCTTCAGGTTCCTAACATGTATTTTGTAACTCTCTCTGAAACAGTTGCAAATAATTGCGCGAAGAGGGTGACTACTTTAAGCTGAGTGGTCCGTTGTTTTGGACTGAAGTGGACTAGGTTTAGTCTGGCTGAGCTAATAAGGTCTCTCGACTGCCATTCGTACACTGTGGACACCGTAGCGCTGTAGGCTACGGGAGAATGCAAAGCAGCAAAGTCACATTTAACACTAAATTAAGCCTGTACGTTCAATTTAAATCCACTTTAAGATTAAGAGATTCTTAAAAATTGATCATTGCTTTTCCACAATGATTTGCTTAATATACTATTTGCACGTGCTGTAAAGGAGTCAGGAGAAAACTTTATTCATCCTTCAATTATTACTTCTATAATTTTAATATTTTTTTTCAATGTGCTGTTGTGTAAGACCAGTAAGACCACTTTTCGAAATACAACACACCGTTTCTGTATTTTTGCACAACCATTTATCCACAGAACACTCGTGTCTTTGACATGTGGGACTCAAGATCCCAGATAAAAGACCGTTTAGATAACACGGCCTTTGAACATTAGCGATAAGTGACACTAAATGCAACTGGAGGAATCCAGAAACACGTTTCCAGAAATGTAAATGTGTCCGAACATGCAGCAGAAAAAGAGAGAGATAAATCCTTTCATTTCGTTTCGGCAATTCCAATTTCGGAAAATAATAATAATACCGATAATAGAGTTTTATTAAAACCCTTCTCAGTAATAGATATTTTAAGGTCCACCACAGCCTGCAACATGGCCAGAATGATGAGATTCTGCTCACGTGAACGAGCTCAATTGTGTCAATATCAAATATCAAATTAAACCAAACTCAATCAAAAAGAAATGCAAGGCAAATTACCGTTGACAGCACGGGATTCCGCCGATTCTGCAGATGTGATCTTTCACCGCTGCTCATCATCTGAGCCGCGTATTCCCAGTGAGTTCACGCGGCTCCGCTCTAATCCAACTTTCACAATAAATTACAGCTCGCCTCGCAGATAAGTTGTCTGCCCTGTCGAGAGAACTGTTTGAGGGATTTAGCGAAACTCTTGAAGTACGGAAAAATGATAATAATACAAAGATATTAAATAAATGTATTAAAGTGAACGGTTTGGTTCTGTCTTTGTACTGAGCGCGAGCGCACAGCTGCTTACTTGCGCTCCTTGTACCCGTGTGACGTGACGAGGGGTGGGGAGGGGGGTCATTTAAACACTGGGTCAGGGTGTTGTAGTGCTTTTCTGTGGCGTTTGACGAACGTGGGTTGTTTGAATTTCGGACTGGACACTGAGCTCTTCGTTAATTAGGGCTGATTTGTTCTTGTGTCTTATCCATCTGTTAGCTGCAAACATTTGAACTGAGCCTCATTCTGCCTACATACACACCTTATATGCCTTTTAAAATATAAAAATAAATAAATGTCTCACGTTTTTAACGACTTCTCAGGACATGCATTTGTTCAAAGTCTTCATTTATACAGACTAAAATGTGAAAACAAGTCTTTTTTTCTTATAGTTAAAACCCGTCTAATGCTATGCTCATGAGTAAAAGTTAAACACTGCCTGAAAAAGTAACGAACCTTGCAGAATTTGGTGAATATTATGGCAACTACAAAGAAAATGAAGTAAAGTATCTTTTTCCAAGTTATTGTTCAGTTTTGCACAGGAGATAGTGTATGTGTGTGTCATAAATTGGCTAAAAGGGCCAAAAATGTTTTTGTTTTGTTTTTTAAAATGACATCATCTGCAGTTTATGGATGTATCCCTACTGAAACCCAAAGACAGGAGTGTATAAAGACTATAGGCATGAGACCACGAGAACAAACTTCAGCATCATTTTATTCTTACTGTATCTACTGAGGAGGTGAGTTGCATTCAAATATATGTTTGAGTACCTCAGCCAGTAAATACAGGCTGAGCTGCATAAGCTGCTCAGGGAGGAGCCTAGATTTTCTTTCTACTTGCTTTGAGGGAATCTTTGTGTGCCTTACAACTTAATGCACTCTGAGATACACTCTGACACTCTGCTGTTGAGAGATTATGCAGATCAAAACTGAAGTGCATTGAAAGCACTGCAGACCGATGTCACTAAAAGAAGATACAGTCATGTGGGGGGAAAAAGTGTAACCTTAGTAATAGCCAGGTACTGATAATGCACTTAGTTGAAAATAAAATAAAAACACCCAAGACATACATCTGAGACTTTATAGGCCTCAGTTAGCATTTTGGATGTTGAAGGTCATCATAGTAAAGATAGAAAAAAGACTGAACAGGTTTGGTTTATCTGGAAAGATTGCCAAGCCAAAGCCTTTTCTCTTTAAAAGGATCAGTTTGCAAAAATGCCTCTGATAAAACCACAAGCCTTCTGAAACAATGTCAGACAAGACTGGAGGGGAGATTTCTGGCCATAAAGCATTGGGAGAAAACCAAATAGCATATCAGCACAAACACCTTATACCAACTCTCAAGCATGGGGGTGGAGGAGTGATGATTTAGGCTTGTTTTGCAGCCACAGGACCTTGGCACATTGCAGTCACTGAGTTGGCCATGAACTCCTCTGAGTACCAAAGTATTCTAGAGCTAAATGTCATCTCTGTGAGTGTTAAAGCTGATTGAAATGGGGTCATGCAACAGGCATTGATACCCAGATCACCAGCAGAAACAGAAAGTCTAAAAAACAAAAAGAATCAAGAAGCCTGCCTCCTGCGGCTCAAAAACATGGCTGCTCTCATGTGAAATATGTCCCATACCCCATCATATAGTAACCTTTTAAAACCACCTTAAGCAGAAATAACTTGAAGTAATAGTCTTCTGTATGTTGGTAGGTTTTGGCCCACTGCTCTTTACAACATTGCTTCAGTTCATTGAGGTTTGTGGGGATTTGTTTATGCTCTCTTAAGGTCCCACCGCAGCGTTTCAATGAGCCATTGCTGCAGTGATCTGTGGATTGACCCTAGAGTAGTGGAGGTCCTGTACCGTCAGCTTAGCATCAAATGCTAGAGTAAACAAACACTGTTGTTATGCATGATACAGATAAAACATTTTCATCTTTACCATGAAGAAATCATGCATTTAAAAGATTATGAAGCCAGTGATCAATTTTCAAGATTCAGAAGGATGCAAGACTATAAATTGAAGATCACATTTACATCATTATGATTTCATTGGACTCTTATATTGCTTGCACATTACTGTTAGCTAAGACTGTGGTATTGAAATAAGCCAGGGACTGCACTGTGCTCCCATTATGTGGCGTGTCCTCCAGTATTAGTGTATTATTTTGGGACATATTTGTGTGTGTTTTTGGGAGGCTGAGATCAAACTTTCATATTGGCTGAGGTGAACTTTGTCCTGCTCCATCTGGACGTCTCATGTTTCCCCTCTTCTCTCACTAGCCGCTTCGCTAAACTGCTGTAAGTCTTTATCCTTAGCAAGGTCATTTAATTTGTTATACTGAGCAGAACTAATGCTTGTGCTGAGGGGATTTAGGGCAGCAAAATTTCTTTACTGCAAATAAGGGTTAAATTTGGTGTAACAGAATGCCAAGCCCAAAATAATTAATGCCTTCCTCTGTGATATTCACTCTTGATGTAGTCTGTATTCATGGTTTTAGGAGAAGATCCATCACGTGCAGAATGTGGGCTGTTTTCTAGAGTGCGGTGAGATGAATGTTTTCAAATAGGATTAGCTCGCATTTTCACCAAGCTACTGAAAACGCATTGAGTCCTGTCAGCGTTTTTTTTTTTATTATTTATGAGAAAATCCTATCTCACTATAGGGACTTCCAGAAGGGGGGATTTCTTGGCCTTTCAACCAACTAATCAGTCACCTCGCCTTTGGAGAAAGTGACTGCATGAAGCACTAAAATTAAAAGGAGATGAAGTCTCCTGTTCGCTGTTGCACTAAATCCCTGAAGAAAAACACTGTGGTCGTTCTTGCAAAACACAAACACACTTTATTGAACAGTGAACTTTGACTGAAAAAAGGCTCAAAGACCTTTTGCATGTGTCAATACGCTCTGTTCAGATGAAGCAGACATCTGCTACACTGCTTTTTCACTTAAATTTAATATTGTAAAACACACTACTCAGCCACTTATAGTATACAATTATTACATTGTGCTCTGTAGTAGTCTGTCCTGCTCTTTTATTCTGTCAGTTCATCGTGCTTATTGGTTTTGACCCATTAACCCTTTCACAGTTTGTTAAATAATCTTTCTTTTTTTCCCTGATAAGTAAAGCCATAAATTGCCAGTAGCAGCGGACAGTGTCAGCCGATAAGATTTCTCTACATGCACATATTTTTATCAGTCCTGTGCCGCAACAGCTGTCAGGTTTTGAGTGGGGTAAAAAATGGCAAGCAGCAGCTTCTGTGACTTTTGTTCCCGAGAACTGAAACACAAAATATGCAAGAGCTGGGCATGAGCGAGACTCGATGTTATAAACCGCCTCAAGCTCCCCTAGGCTGCAAAATGCTACGATTGTGTCCGGCTGCCAGGCATCATTGCATCTTTAGTGAAATGCTTTTAAATTACATGCATCCCCCTCAACCCCATTCTCTGAGACATTGTATATACCCAGACCTGAATTAGCTTGACACATTTATAGGATTTATTGAACTCTAAATATCAAAGGCTTGATGCTTGTGGCACCGTCTATATATATATTTTTTCTAGAATCATTTCATGAGCTGTAAAAGACAAAAGAGAGCAAGAGAGAAATGCCTGAAAACAACTAAGGCATATTCCTTGTTCTTTACAAAAGACCCTCAGGCTGCAAAACAAAAAAAACACATTAGGTATATTCACATATGCAAGAGTGCTCAGGCTGGAAATAGAATAAGCCACACAGTATTAACCAAATGACAGAGAAAAATGCGTGCTTGTGATTGTCGTCTGTGTGAGTGTGTGCTAGGAGGATGTGCAGCATTTCCACAACCATCCAACAGAGGGAGCCAGCACAGCAAAACCAAACAAGTACACAGGTTTATTTACAAATATTAAAATATGACACAGACACTAAAATGATTTTTTCCCCTCTGAACCCCCCAAAATTATCTCTCTTTCTCTGCAGACTGAAACCCATATTTTTGTTTTATGTAATCTAGTTAGATTACAGGACACACGTTTGTCTAACTGCATGCAAAGTAAACATTTGAAGAGACAGATAAGGTCGCTGCAAAAGGTCATGTACACATTGTATTAAAAGGTCAGTAAATTAAAATACTGCTGTCATGCTTAAATTACATAATTACTAAAATAATTACTTAAACTCTATAGTTTGGATAACAGAATAAGTTCATGGTTTTATAGGGATATTGTTGTAAGTATGATACAGCTGTCATGTCACTGCTTTATAATGTCTTTCTGTAAGTTGTAATATATGGCATATGGAACATTTTTCACTGTAACATACATTGCTGTGCCAAGTAAGTGCAAAACCCAGTGGAATTGCAGTTGTGGTCAAATTAACTAAGATGCATGTAGGCAACAATGTAGCAGTAGTATGGTAGTAGTGCATATAGATTCTCTTGTAGGCTGTGAAAAGCTAATTTTGAAATATTCTGAGGAAAGTAATATTAATTATCTTTGCCTTAAGTGTTCATTTGATTTATTCTCTTTTCTATTTGGGGCATTTATCATAAGTGTACTGTATCTTCCTCAAAAAGGTTTGGAAAGTGTACATTTATACGCTGCAAAAACAGGATTTTTTGGACTATAAAAAAGGTTGATGTTAACATGTTAACACTGAGGTAGTGGCCAATTTATAATGTTGTAATTTTGTTCTCTGATTAGCTCAGGACATATTGACAACTGATTGCTGTGGATGTACAATGTGGGTTCTGCTGTTTGTGT